GTATATATGATACGGTGTGCAGAATACCGAATATATACAGTATGTGAAAATACTGTAATTATACGGTAATAATACTATAAATATACTGTTCGCAAAATACGAAAATACAGTATACTAACCGTATATATATTTTTTATAGGGCAGACAATTATAGTTTTTTTTTTAAAAAAAAGTTTCAAAAAAAATAAATAAAATCTCATTTCTTTTCAAATCATCGAGGACTACGCTCTAAAACATACATCTTACAATAAAACATTGCACCACATGATGTATCCTATTTAACCACTGAATTTTTGTTAACATAAAACTCCAAGCCTGTATGCTTGTATTGATAAAAACAAAAAAAAATCTGATAACTATAAAAAAAAAAAAAATACAGAAACTAAAAACTATAAATAATATAGCCCGTCCTTCTGGAAAAGTCTTGTAGTTACAACAACTTACAACAAAAACTCTTTTCCCTTGATCTTTCAGGGTCTGCAAGGTAGGAAGGTAGGTGTAGTGGAAAAATCTTACTACACTATGGTGACTGCCACATATCGTGACGTTTTTTTGAGTGTCTGATTTCTATTTGTCACACCTACCCATTGGGTGTTATATGTGTCACTATAAACGTATCTATTAAACGTATCTATATACTGTAGCGTTTAAACAATTTGCGTACACTTTCAAACGCAACACAATTGTAAAGCGATCACGTGTTTGTGCATATAGAATAGGATCAACATTTATTTATATATGTACGTGATAAAGTGTATGCAAATTGTTTAAATGCATCTATATAGTGGCATCTTATTTCTTGCGCCACACTGCCACTCTCAGCCGTCTTTAAAGGTCGAAAATTACTCAGACTTTTTCACATGCCCATCTTCTTATTTCATAACAAAATTTGCAAAGAACGCTATTGTACTGGCGCTTTATACTCTCAAAAGAAATGTGAAAGTGAAAAAAAAGACAAGTAAATATTAGATTTAATTTTACTAATGATCGACAAGAAAGATTGTATTTTTATAATTTAGTGATACCATCAACATTTTGGACGCTATAACGGTTCCTATTGCCTAATTAGATATATCTGGAACTAAAACCTGAAAATTGGTATCTGCATTTTGCATAGAGAACATAGTAAACATATAGTGTATGGTTGGCTATTTATTTTTATTTATTTTATTACTAAAAGAGTGTTAAAACCCAGGCTATTACAAATAGAAGAAAAAAAGAATTCAAAAATGCTTAGAACTAATATATGTGTATAGACCTTTGTTCGTCATCCCCTACGGGACCCCACTCTTCGATCTGTACTCTTTGATAAAGTAGGACTACGCTAAAAAATCAAATGGGAACCATAAAAAAACCATCCGAGAGACTAGCGGCTATCTAAAAAAAAGAAAGTTAAAGGGCGGCTAATATAGTCTAACTTTATCTACAGTATGTGCAATCAAAATATAAAAATTAAGATCCGTATTTTCCTTTCAACCACGGTTGCCACCTGTGAATACTGTAAGAGGTGGAATGATTCACACTATTTTAAGTTGTGTTATACATATGATAACGAAAAAAAGAACCGAAAATGTAGATTAAACTACTAGGTAAATGTAAAAACTCCAAATAAAAGAGTACTAATATATATAAATGAATAATTAAACTGTCTTAGAACTTGAAGGTCCTGGTACCAGGGAGTCATTGGTAATATCTGGTGAAGGACGTAGTCTTTTCATGTTATGATCCTGAAATGAGAAATAATGATTCTCGTTATTAATATTATCACGCTTGTTGGGCCGATATTCGACCTCTGCTGTATCATCTGATACATCAATATAATGATGCGTAGGAAATCGGATAGCCCCTTGAGTTCGGAGATTATTTTTCTTGAGACCCTTGTTATGATTTTTATCTAACGTGGTATTACTAAAACCCGAATTGTGATTTTCTAGTCTTCTGGCCAAATAACTAGGTGTGCGTTCGTGAAAATGAAATGATGCATCTGTTAAGGATTTAATAGTATTAACACGAGCATTATAATGCTTGAAGGTAGTTCCATGGTATGCTGCCTCTTTCGTTAAAGCGTCCTCTTTTAATTTTTCCATTCTTCGTAATTGAGATTTTTCTACTATATATGATGGTACGTAATTTTCTACTACTCCTGAACGGTATATTGGAGTTCTTGCTATATATTTCCCTTTAGCGTTGTAACGTGAGGTACTACTCTCTGATGGATAATAAGATTCATCAACGTTATACATATAAGTGAACCATTCTCTAGATCCAGGAACCACATAACGATCGTTCACAAAAATCGGATCCTTTGGTATAATATCATGATATTTTTTAGGTATGAATACATCCGAAATTGGATTGTAATTCTCTGGTGGTGCAGAAGGACCAGTAGATGATGAAGCTTGAGTGAGTTTCGTCATGATTTGTTGCTTGTGGTTAAAATCCGTAGCGAAGTAAGGAACCAAGAACAAATAATCGTTAGCGTTCGGGATTGAATCACATTGTTTGTATGATAAGTGTCGAATAGGAGCTTTAATCTTTTGAGATTTCATGAATAGAAAATGATGTCTGCGTGCAGTCGCTAAATAGTCCTGGTTAGTGACCTTATGATTAGGCGGTAGACGCATTTTATTAAAAACACGACGGCAAGAGCGCTTGAAACGTATATCTTGTTGTTTTTGTGTACGTAAATTAGGAGACCAACTGTGTTCGAATTTGGCGAGACATTTTCGATACATGTGTCTTTTGCCTTTATTGAAAGTTGTAGAGGGATCTCTAGCATGAATATTGCTGTTATACAAAATACCCAGTCGTCTAGAGGTAATACGTTTTGATTTACCATTAAGCCATCTGTAATATAATAAATTGGCATGAGATGATTTGTCATTAAAGAAATCTGTAGGAATATCATCCGATTTGGATTCATGTTTCTTTTTAATATTTTTAAAACAATGTAATTGTGAGAAGGTATGTTGATGCATAACGCATGAGCGTCTATTGTGCGACATGACGAAAGGAGTAGGGATACTACATGGTGTGTCATTATGAAAATGTTCACGATTATTAATATAGGGGCAAGGAATATAAATGCCAAAGTGAAAACGACGTTTCTTATAGGTGAAATTAAAAAATGTTTTTGTAGAATAATTTCGATTAGAAGTACTAGTAACACGTGATCTTATTATTTTAATTCTATCCAATAATTTGTTACGTAAGAAATTAAAATATTTGTCTTGTATTCGACGTGGAATGACTCTTTGTGAGGTGAAAAAATGCGTAAGTATGCAGCTGATTTGATATTTGTCATTGGGGAACGAACTTGTGTTATTATAACTAATCGGTTTAGTTTTCATATGATAATCATTTGTGTGTATCTTCAAATGAATTTCATTGGTGTTTTGATTATGATCAGCAAGCTCAAAAAAGAAACTCCTAGAGCGCCGAATTTCGTAGATCTTGTTATATCCAGATCGTTTTGGCGTAGTCACGTGAAATTTTTTCAGGGAGACCAGCAAAGTATTTTTTTTCCCAACGATGGGTAATTTTTCTGAGGGAGGCGCAGTATCCAAAGGTGGTATAGGATTAATGTTCTCGACTATGGGTAAATTTTCTGAAAGAGGCGCAGTATCCAAAGGTGGTATAGGATTAATATTCTCGACTATGGGTAAATTTTCTAAGAGAGGCACAGTATCCAAAGGTGGTATAGGATTAATGTTCTCGACTATGGGTAAATTATCTGAGAGAGGCGCAGTATCCAAAGGTGGCATAGGATTAATCTCCTGTATGGGAGTTAAAGGAGTGTCGTCAACAAAAGGTTTGTCATTTTTGAGTACGCTGATTACTTCTATTTCAGCGTTTAAATTAGCCTGTAATAGCTGTTGAAAGTAGACTTCGTCGTCATATATATATTCCGTTTTGTTGTCTTCAAAATGAAGAGTTGAATACGTATAAGGATAAATATCATCGATATCAAGAGAAAGAATATCCTTAGCAGAAAGTAATGCTGGTCGCTCAGTATTATATAATATATCTGCTGAGTTATTATCAGGTGGTGTAAAGTCACCGAGTTGAACATAAGAACGTTGTGAAGTGGAAGACCAGTCTATTTCGATAGAAGGTGTAGAAGACATATTCCTTTATAATATAGGATATAAGAAGAACTAAAAACCTCGTATAAGACAGAGGCGCCCGTTTAGACCTCTCACCCTTTGGCGTTTCAAATAGAAACTAAAAAAAACTAAACTTCGCAAAATTACTGCGGAAAACTGACAAAACTAAAAAAAGGGGAAAGAGTTTTTTTTTTCTGTATGGTTGGCTATGTATGTAGGGTATGGTTAAACATCACATATAAAGGTATCACGTGACCATACGTGGTACAGAATAGAATGGTCTAGGCCTTTCCTTATTTGGTAATAAACAATGTAGATCTGTATGGAACGCGTGTGAAATTTTGCATACCCTACATACATAGGTAGAGCTCCGCACGGGTCGGGTCGGGTCAGGTAATTTGTCTGACCTGAACCGAAAAATTTTTATCAGGTCAGGTCAGGTCGGGTAACCTGCTCTGACCCGACCTGACCCGTCTGACCTGAAAGTATTCAGGTCATTTTTCTATAAAATAATATGAAAAAACGCCGTTTTGGCGATTTTTTTCATAAAAGAAGTGAAAAAAAAATGCCAAAACGGCATTTTTCCATAAGATAAATGAAAAAATGCCACTTTGGCGATGTTTTCATAAAAGAAGTGAAAAAAATGCCATTTCGGCATTTTTCCATTAAATAATATGGAAAAATGCCGTTTTGGCGATTTTTTTCATAAAAGAAGTGGAAAAAAAATGCTGTTTCAGCATTTTTCCATTAAATAATATGAAAAAATGCCGCTTTGGCGATTTTTTTCATAAAAGAAGTGGGAAAAAATGCCGTTTCGGCATTTTTCCATTAAATAATATGAAAAAACGCCATTTTGGCGATTTTTTTCATAAAAGTGAAAAAAATGCCGAAATGGCATTTTTCCATAAAATAAAATGAAAAACGCCATTTCGGCGTATTTGTTTATAAAAAACAATGCCGAAATGGCGTTTTTTTCATAAGGTAACATGAAAAACCGCCGTTTCAGAGTATAAACATTTTTTTTGAGCTAAAGTATTCGGGTTAACAGGTCAATTGGGTCGGGTCAAGTAACCCGACCTGATACCGGGTCACGAATTTGACAACCTGACCTGAATATTTCGGGTCAACCCAACGGGTCACCCGAATTGACCCTTACCCGTGCGGAGCTCTATACATAGGTATCCATACACTACATGTTATTGTAACACCCTACACAAACTACTATATATACTCGAATAAAGGCGTTTAATTGCATTTAACTCCAATAAAATTATTTAGTAATGGCTCAAAGTACTCAAAGTAACAATGAAGGTAAAAGCATATAATATGAATATAGGTATCTAATACAAATTGAGATTGCTCTAAAATTTTTTTCAAACCAAATTTGCAACATAATGAAACTAGTTTCAAAATTTAAGAAAGATAAAAGTAAGAAAATTATTTAACAGCTTGTAAATTATAAACATGTAATTTAAATATTTTAAACTATTTCTAAAAATTATTTACTATATTAGCTCGTAAGTAATAGGTTATCTTATAATCGGAATGATAATTAAATTACTTACTTCTATTATTATTTTATATAACCAAATAATTTATTTTATTATTATTATAGTTGGTAAGTTAATGACTATATTTTTTATTGCATTTTACATGATATTTTAAATAACTAAATCTTCCATTAATATAATTGTTTAATAATTATGGTACTAATATTATAGAAAGTAAGTATTTAATTATATATTAATTTAAAAGTATTTATATATAATTTAGACTAATAATATTTATTTGAATAATTAGATTGTAAGTTACTGTATATACTTAATTTTTATATACAATAATTATAATATTTTTATCTAATTGATTATAATTACTTTACTTTATAAATTAATTTATAATGCTACAGGGTGTAAGTTATTTACTTAATCTATTATTTTATATAATATATACATATAATTTAAACTAACTAAATTCTTTATATAAAAAATATTCAAATATTTTAGATCGTAAGTAATTCTATTATATTATATAATATTTATATATAATTTAAACTAATTAAATTCTTTATTTAAAAAATTATATAGGGAGTATGTTATTTATTCAATTCTATTGTATTTATATAATATTTAAATATAATTTAAACTAACTGAATTCTTTATTTAAAAAATTATTCAAATATTTTAGGTAGTAAGTAATTCTATTATATTTATATAGTATTTACATATGATTTAAACTAAATAAATTCTTTATTTAAAAAATTATTCAAATATTTTAGATCGTAAGTAATTCTATTATGTTTTATATAATATTTACATATAATTTAAACTAACTAAATTCTTTATTAAATAATTATTTTGTAATTTCTTTTAGTTGGTAAGTTATAAGTTATTTATATAATTCTATTATATTTATATAATATTTACATGTAATTTAAACTAATTAAATTTTTTATTTAAAAAAATCATTTAAAATATTTTAGCCTGTAAGTAATTATATTATATTTACATAATATNAAACGCCATTTCGGCGTATTTGTTTATAAAAAACAATGCCGAAATGGCGTTTTTTTCATAAGGTAACATGAAAAACCGCCGTTTCAGAGTATAAACATTTTTTTTGAGCTAAAGTATTCGGGTTAACAGGTCAATTGGGTCGGGTCAAGTAACCCGACCTGATACCGGGTCACGAATTTGACAACCTGACCTGAATATTTCGGGTCAACCCAACGGGTCACCCGAATTGACCCTTACCCGTGCGGAGCTCTATACATAGGTATCCATACACTACATGTTATTGTAACACCCTACACAAACTACTATATATACTCGAATAAAGGCGTTTAATTGCATTTAACTCCAATAAAATTATTTAGTAATGGCTCAAAGTACTCAAAGTAACAATGAAGGTAAAAGCATATAATATGAATATAGGTATCTAATACAAATTGAGATTGCTCTAAAATTTTTTTCAAACCAAATTTGCAACATAATGAAACTAGTTTCAAAATTTAAGAAAGATAAAAGTAAGAAAATTATTTAACAGCTTGTAAATTATAAACATGTAATTTAAATATTTTAAACTATTTCTAAAAATTATTTACTATATTAGCTCGTAAGTAATAGGTTATCTTATAATCGGAATGATAATTAAATTACTTACTTCTATTATTATTTTATATAACCAAATAATTTATTTTATTATTATTATAGTTGGTAAGTTAATGACTATATTTTTTATTGCATTTTACATGATATTTTAAATAACTAAATCTTCCATTAATATAATTGTTTAATAATTATGGTACTAATATTATAGAAAGTAAGTATTTAATTATATATTAATTTAAAAGTATTTATATATAATTTAGACTAATAATATTTATTTGAATAATTAGATTGTAAGTTACTGTATATACTTAATTTTTATATACAATAATTATAATATTTTTATCTAATTGATTATAATTACTTTACTTTATAAATTAATTTATAATGCTACAGGGTGTAAGTTATTTACTTAATCTATTATTTTATATAATATATACATATAATTTAAACTAACTAAATTCTTTATATAAAAAATATTCAAATATTTTAGATCGTAAGTAATTCTATTATATTATATAATATTTATATATAATTTAAACTAATTAAATTCTTTATTTAAAAAATTATATAGGGAGTATGTTATTTATTCAATTCTATTGTATTTATATAATATTTAAATATAATTTAAACTAACTGAATTCTTTATTTAAAAAATTATTCAAATATTTTAGGTAGTAAGTAATTCTATTATATTTATATAGTATTTACATATGATTTAAACTAAATAAATTCTTTATTTAAAAAATTATTCAAATATTTTAGATCGTAAGTAATTCTATTATGTTTTATATAATATTTACATATAATTTAAACTAACTAAATTCTTTATTAAATAATTATTTTGTAATTTCTTTTAGTTGGTAAGTTATAAGTTATTTATATAATTCTATTATATTTATATAATATTTACATGTAATTTAAACTAATTAAATTTTTTATTTAAAAAAATCATTTAAAATATTTTAGCCTGTAAGTAATTATATTATATTTACATAATATTATGTATAATTCAAACTAAAAAATTATTTAAAAAATTATTTAAAATATTTTAGCCTGTAAGTATTGTATTATTTTAATTATATTTTTTATATTTAATTTATTATAATTATATAATATTTACTCATAATAATTAAATTTTTTTAAATATTTTGATAATTATTTTAGTTGGTAAGTTATACTAAGTTATTATATACTATTTATTTAAAACTAATTATTCATTATATTAAATCTTATAATTTTATTTAGAGTAAGTTATAATTAATATTATTTAATATTTAAATTTTTAATTGTAAATTTTATTTTAGATTTAAATTTTTAATATAATTTCATTTTTATATTTAAAGATTTGGTACTAGTGGAAGTGAAATTGTGGATCAATTTATTTCTAAAAATAACTTAAAATGGGTTCCTTATAATAAATTTGAAAATATTGAATATCTTGATAAAGGAGGATTTGGTACTATATATAAAGCTAGATATAATAGTATCGAAGTAATTTTTAAATATTTTGATTATCTTAATAATTCAGATGGAAGTTTAAATGAATTTTTAAATGAAGTATGTTTAGATATTATTATTTTTTTTAATATTATAATTTGTTTATATTAATTAATTAAATATTATTTTTTTTATAGTGGAAAATTATTAATTCACGTAGAATGATTAGAGTATATGGATTTACAAAAGATCCAGATACTTTGAATTATGTATTAATAATAGAGTATACAAATAAGGGTAGTTTAAAAAGATGTTTAACAGAAATAACAAAAAATTGGAAACAAAAATTATTTAATTTATATCAGATTATTAAGGGTCTTAATGATATTCATGAAAAAGATCTTATTCATCATAACTTTCATAATGGTAATATTTTATGTAACAAATTTGAAGAAGACATATACGGAATTTTTATTAGTGATTATTTAGGATTATATCAACTTGCAAAATCTTTTTTAAAAGAAAATGCTATTTATGGAGTTTTACCATTTATAGCACCCGAAATTTTAAGAGGTCAATCTTATACTCAAGCTAGTGATATATATAGTTTTTCTATAATTATGTGGGAATTTACATCTGAAATTCCACCATTTAATGATAAAGCACATGATCTTCAACTTGCTTCAGGTATTTGTATAGGTGGACGTCCTGAAATTATTGAAAATACTCCACAATGTTATATAGATTTAATGGAAAAATGCTGGGATGAAGATCCATTAAAAAGACCATCTTCTAAAGAAATTTTAAATATCATTGAAAATTGGATTTTTCTTCCTGATAATAAAAAAATTGAAGATATTAATGAAGAATTAAAAAGCAATATTATGGAATTTATAAATGCACCAATTGAGTATAATAATCTTATTGTAAAATCTCATCCAAAAGCATGCTATACAAGTCATTTACTCGATTTTACCAGTGAAGAATTAAATGAAATTCTAAAAGATTCTCAAGGATTTTTGGATCAAAAATATCTAATTTCTCAAAATGAAATAAAATGGGTTTCATATTCACAAATTAAAAGTTTAATAAAAATGGCAGCAGGAGGATTTGGCATTATTTATAAAGCTTTAATTAAAGGAGACGTTGTTGCTCTAAAAAAAGTTTTAAATTCTCAAGAACCAAACAAATATTTTTTAAATGAGGTAATTAATTTTCAAAATTTGTTTTTTTTTAAAATATTTAATACTAATTTAAACGATAAAATTTTAGTTAAAATCACTTTATCAATGTTATGATAGTAAATTTGAATATATTATTAAATGTCATGGTATCACAAAAGATCCTATAACAAAAGAATATATGTTTATAATGAAATTTGCAAATGGAGGAGATTTACATAATTATTTACAAGAAAATTTTGCAGAGATTACATGGAAGAAAAAATTGCACATTTTGTGGCGAATTTCAGATGGGTTTTTATAATTTATTTAGTAATGATTTTAAAATTATTTAAGTATAATTTTATTAATCACCAATTTTTTATTTTAGACTTCAAACTATTCATGAAAAAGATTTTATACATCGAGATTTTCATAGCGGAAACATATTGGTTGAAATAATTGAAAATGATTCATGTAAAATAGATCAATATCTAATTGGAGATTTAGGATTATCACAGCCCGCAAATGACATTCCACATGATAGCAGTATATATGGAGTAATACCTTATTATATTGCACCAGAAATATTTAAAGGTGTCAAATTTTCTAAATCATCTGATATTTATTGTATGGGCATGATTATGTGGGAATTGACAACTGGTTGTAAACCTTTTGATAATATTGAACATGATGTTGATTTAATTTATAAAATTATTGATGGGAAACGACCTAATATTACTGACGACACTCCTGAAGATTTTGCTAATTTAATGAAAAAATGTTGGAATCCTAATCCTGAAAAAAGACCTTCAGCAGCGGATGTTTGTAAAATTTTTAATTCTTGGTCAAATATGGGAATGGATGCCGAATATTTTAATCAAGCTGAAGAAATAAGATTAGAATTAATAAAATCAAAAATGCTTGGACCAGATTTTAATGAAAAACCTCATCCAAAAGCAATTTATACAAGCAGATCAATAACGTTTAATACGAAACCAAGTATGTAAAAATTATTTTTTTTATAAATTTGGACAATATTTACAACATTTTAACATTTAATAATTATTATTATCTTAGATAATAAACTAATTGAAGAATCAATCAACAATAAAGGTATTAAGTTATTTTTTAATCAGTACGTAAAGGAATTTATTAATTACTTTGTTTTTTTTTCTTTAGAATATATTACAAAAGAATATGAGTTTGATATAAATGAAATTTGAAGGTACAATTAAAAGTTTTCTATTATTGCTTTCAATAATTGCTTTGGTAAGATTTCAGAAGTAATCCAATAAATTCAAGGAAACAAGATGCAACTGAAGATTTTACTAAATAAATTTTTATCATTTTTATTCTATTTTATTTTATATTTTTTCTTTTTTTAAAAAATAGGAATGCATATTCATTACAGAAACATCAAATTTTTAAACAACGTTGATACTACGCCAAAATCACATGATTAAGCCGTTGTTTTGTGCGTCGTTATTGAACGTCATACGACGCGTTGCAAAGGTAAGAAAATGCGTTGCCACTGTGCTTTTTTAATTTACTGTAAAATCGCTTTCACTATACTTATTTATTATTGTGAATATACAGTCAATGTGCAATTTTTTAATATTTATAACACTGTAGACATACTTTAATTACATATATTTAATAAAATGAACAATGCTATATTACCAACATTGCGACACTAATAACTACATATTAAATTATACATTATTAAGTATTAATATTCAAACGAGGAGATTCGAAAAAGGTGGACCTATAAAAAGAAAAATAAAAAATAAAGTTTTGAAGTCAAGTTGACTTCAAAATTGTCCTATTGAACCTAACACTTAGGACTGAACCTACAAAAAAATATATACGTTAATATCATTAAAAAAAATAAATGTTGAAAATGGATTAAAAGAGGCCAAATCTTACCAAAATTTCACATATCTAAAAGTCTGACCATCTAAAAATTTTTCGATAATTCAACAACAACAGCCAATTTATGATATATACGATATGATTAAAAAATAGAAGCATGAATCTTACAAAACTTAAAAAAAAGTTCGTCTTTTTTAAAATAGTTTTTGAAAGTTTTCGAAAACTTACTCAGGTTTCAGTAGAGCTGAGTTCCTATAAAATTAAAGAAAATGCTTAAAGAATGTTTTTTTAAATAGTTTTCAAAGCTATTTCCCAGGATTCTGCCAGTGGTTAAATCAGACTACGAAAAAAAATAATTAATATAATTTTTTTGAAAACAAGCTTTTGAAAGTGATTTAAAACTTACTAAGGAATCCGCCCATAAAGCAAAAAATTGAAGCTGGAGTTCCTACAAAATAGAAAATAAATAAATTTTTTCAAAAAATAAAAAATTATTGATTCGATGACCTAGTACCAGAGTATTTAGTTCAGAGCTGGATTCCTAAAAAAAGAAAGGATGAACAAAATGTTAGTCAATAAACATTTCATTAAAATAAAAACTAAAGAAAAACCCACATGCAAAATTCCAAATGTCTGAGCCGGTCTAAAAATAAAAAAAACAATAAAACATTAGTAAAATTTTGGTAAAATAATAGAGTCATTAAGTGATCGTGATGTAAATTTTTCTTTTATTTCTTTGTTTTAGCTTTCGGACATGTTAGATTTAGGTAGGGAGGAAAGGGTTCTTTTTAATATATCTCTTTTAACAAAATATTTTTCTAAATTTCATTTATTCTTTTTTTTTAGACAGGTCAGATTGTGAAACGCAATTTTGATTTGGAGTTTTGTTTTCTGTAATTCAACAGTAAAATAATAAAAAAAAGTGCTAACTCCATTTTCACAGGAAAGCCTTCAAAATGAAAATGAAACCTAAAAAAAGAAAGATGTTAATAATGTTAACAGTAAAGAAACAGGAAAAAAAGAAACATCCACCTGGTTGTTTTCCAGTTTGATTTTCCATATTCTCGGTAAACTTATTTTTTTTCTTCTTGGGAAATTGTTTTCTTGGAATTTTTGTGTTTCTAAAGTTAACGAAAGGGGGAAAGGGAAGTATGAAAGAGAGGGAGAAAAAGTTTTGATAAAAAAGTTAAAAAAAAAGTTTAAGTTAAAAAAGAGATCATCGAATATTAATAATATTTACGTAACACAATTTTCACAAAATGTTTGATCGAAATTCCAGTTTGATATGATCACTGTGTTGTTTTTTTTTCTGAAGGGTAACTTTATTAGTGATAGTCTAGATGTATATTTAGTATAGAATTTTCTTTACTTCTATATACACATTAATTACATATTGTACTACACTTCGTTCAATAAAATAAATCATTAAAAGCATTATATTTTCAATACTAATATGAAAAAAATAGCTATTATTCCAAGTTATTATTAAAAAAAAAAATTTATTTAAAAGTTTCATGAAGTTTAATTTTTTTTTTTTTTTTTTTTTTTTGACTTCATATTACTTCGTATTACTCCATAAAAAAAACACATCGATATAAAACATATATAATATGGTACATGTTGACTGTATAACGTCTAGCTTGGATAATTTTTAATAGAAATAAACAAATAATTCATTGATTTTTGTTGGTATCATAGACGATGAGATGAATTAATGATCTGCAAACTGCAGTTTGATTTTATTAAAGACTAAGCTTTTTTAAGCTTTTAAAATTTTTTTTTCGTTATCTTTCTCTTTCCTATTATAATTCTTTCTCCTATTTTTTTCTTTTATTTTTCTCACCCTTCCCTCATTCTTTCCTTTCCCTTTCCCTTGTTTTTTCTTTTACTTTTTTTTTTAGTAGCTGCTTTGAATCTCCTTGGACATAGATTCCTAAATTTCTCTTTAATACCTTTTTTTTTTTTACTTTTTTAATGAATAAATTATTAAAGTTTCATTTTTTTTCTTTTTGTAAATTTGTTTCATTTGTTTTTTTAATAGTCTTCAAATATTTAGACGTGTGGGATTTTGGTTCTTTAACAAAGCATATACTGGTGTTTTAGTTTTTTAGGCAGCTTCATTAGGATCTTTGGACACGCAGATTACGGCATATTTTTTTTATATTCTTAAACTCTTTATTTAACAAAACATTAATTTAACAATTTTGTTTAAACACTAATTTTCTTTTTTTTTTTAGATTTTTCTTTATTCTTTTGGATGCATGGGAATTTGAAGCTTTGAATTCAGTAACTTGCATATTTTTTGGTGTGTTTCTTATTATCTTTTATTTCAAGTTTAATGAAACTTACTTTTTGATGAAACTTATAATGTTTTGTTGTTTTCTCTTATTTCATAAGCAACCAGTTTTCGGACACTAGGTGACTGGCTCTTTGGTCTTTTTGGATATCTTTGGACGTGAATTTTGAAAGTCATTTAACTTCTTTTCTTTAATTTTTTCTTTTAATGAATCGTACTAATATTCATCTTTCTTTTTTAGATTGTTGATTCTTCAACTCTTTGGACTTGGTGTAATAATTAACTGACTTGAGGTTAGAATCATAGGCTTGCTCACCAGCTGGCAAAGTGTATGAAATTTCTTTTAAATCATAAAGAAAGCCTTGCTAAAGTCATCTTTAGTGTAGGTCTAGTAATACATTGCCTTAATTGAGCGTGGCTACGAAGTTTATGATTCTATAATGTTTTTGTTTAATGCATGTATAAAAGTCTCTGTACAAGTCATTTTATAATAAATGTTATATTTATTTCATTGTAATATCAAATTTACATAAAATTGTTAAATCAATTTTTCTGTATATTTTACATTTAGATTATGTACATTTAATGTTTAAACTACATATAAAAGATGGTTAAATTATGTTTAAATTAATAAAATAATTCATATATTCAGTAAACATTCCTAATGATTATTTGACGATAATATTACACCATTTTAATACTGTTTCAACATTATCACTATGCAATTACAACTATTATAATTACGTTTTTGACATTCTGAAATTTATTAATATAAAAATAGTTCACCGTTTTATAACATTGAAAAATTTAAATTCACAGTATCATTACAAAATGACTAACAACACTGTAACAGCATCGTGAGTGTATTGTAACTTTGCATTAATGTAAAATGCATTGTCACATTATTACAACCATGATGTTACATCATAGTGAAAGCGTTGTCTTAAAATCATAAGTTTCTGCTATGTTAAAGTTAGTAACAATGTTAACACAGAAAGAAACTTTGTAATCATGTTCTGATTTTATTAAGTTATTTATTTATTTTCTTTTTTTATATATTATTACAATTACTATTTATTGAAATAAAGATTATAATTACGTCTAAATTGTAAATATTCTCACTAGTTGCTATAATTTTAACATCATATTATTTACTACATAAAAAAATGTATAACTAAGTAATAAAGTTATAACTTTTCGGAAAAACTATTTATGTACCAAACCTGTACACGTGAATGTACATAGTATCCTTTCTCTAATGCGAACCAATTTATGATAATAAAATTATAAAAAACTTTTTGTATTGAATATGATTATTTCTGACGAAATAAATTATCGTACACTAAAATCATAAATGATAGTATGTATTTAAATGATATTTAAAGATAAAAATAAATTGATGAATAAGCTAATAACTATGTGAGGCACTCTGTAGTTTTGATGTATTTTTCAACTATAGATGATAAAAACAAGTCAAGAGAATATTATTAGTAGTTTTATAGCTTTTGTATATGGATTATTTACTTGCTAATACTTCGTTAGAATGTATTTTTTTGTATATGTAGAAACTTTTTTTAATTGATCTATACATTTTATTAAATATTTTAGCACTATTTGAATAATAATTAATGATTAATATTTCAATTAAATAATAATTTCCAACCTGTCAACTACCGAAGTAGTCTACCATTGGTTGATATCACGATTGTGACTGAAGTCAGTGTGATACCATGATCTAATGATCTATGCACTTTTCCACCACTAGGGCTACGATCTACACCTTCTAGACCTATGGTATACGCCCACGCAGTATAATTCATAAAGCATCCGTTGGCTGGATGGATGATGGATCGAACCTTCGTCCATTCCTGTCATAGACAATCATAGGAGGGGTTTGTATTGAAAAATAAATAAAAATAGTGTTAAGCAAAAGTGAACTTTTTAAATTTTGTTATTGAAACTAAAATATATATCACATAAGTAAAGAACTCTTTCCCTTTTCATATAATTCCGCAGTAAATTAACGACAAAATTGTTCGTGCTGACTAATTAGATTAGCGTCACTATGATATGATCGGCTTGTGCATGAGATAGTTCTGATACCTATGACACTCCTATGACGCAACATTTTCTTATAAAAAGCAGTTTAATAAAAAGAAAAAACACGCAAGCAATGGCAATAGCAGAAGAGAATGAATTTTATAGTAAACTGTGTGTTGCTAGAATTTTTAAAGGTGCCGTCGAGAAAAAACGTGAAAAAGAAATTAATCTGTCGGGAGTGAACAAATTTTCTTATAATCTAGCAACAATACTAGCGAGAGATAGGGAGGATATGAGAGATTTAATTTTAACTACAGTACATTGAACAAACTTAGGTGGGATATAACCGAGTATAAAGACAAAGTATATACTAAATCTTTCTTAGATTATGCTAAGACTAAAATCAACGATGTTGACATATTTGACAAAGTTGACGTATTGAACAATAAGGAAAATACACTATATCCTCAGTTTGTTGCAAATATTATAAAATAGTAAAAAAAGATTTTGAAATCCCGAAAAAATTTCGAAACCACACCAGAAAGGTGGGATCATACATTGAATCTTTATTTAATATCGTAAATTGCGTACGTAATACAAAGTACAAAGACTTATTTTTTCGTATAGATTTGAAATTATTGAATCCTGATGTGGTGATTCAACCCATATTACCATGGAATGGTATTGTCGAAAAATTTCTTGATCATGAAAAAGAATATGAAGGTTTCATGGAAGAATGTTTGAAAGATCCTACGATAAGGTATAGACTAAAACGTGTGTATGGCGGCGTAGATGCAGAACTGAATTGTGTAAGTTCTAATGAAATGTATTTACACGCGGAATTGAACTTATTGACCAGCGTAATGAATCATGAAGAGAAAAGGATTTTTATAGCAGTTTCAAAAAAATGCTGTTATTTATGTGAATTGTACATCAGATATGTACAAGAAATCAAAGGATATAACGTTGCCGTTTCTGGATCACATAAATCACTTAAGAAGCTATGTAGTCGATGGAAACTTCCAGATACTTTCAAGAAAGAATTCATGTCATATGCTCAACTTGAACTCGATCGGATCATAGAATATGAAATAAAATTGTGCACTGAACCTGACAGTGAATCAGAATGTATAGAAGCGTATTTAAATTCACCATTTTATCACAATTTCTAAATTTAAAATAAGGTAGTCAAGTTGCATTTTGTTGATTTCCTTTTTAAATGAAATCTCGTTTATCACCCGATTCTTTATATTTCGTATGTGCATCTCTTATGTGCTATTAGCTGTTGGTTATCTTTCAATTTTATTCAATGTTTAGTCACATTTGTTTTTCCATACCTATCACCTTCTATTTCACAAATGTCACCGTATATTGTAATAATAAGTGCATCTAAATACGTCTGAAAATTTTATTAAAAACAGGGGCCCGATCAGAAATATTTTCCAAATAGCTGTAAAGTAATATCGAATTATCAGTGAAAAAATTTGATAGCTTTTTTTTTACAATTTATCAAAAGACTTTATTTACTTTGGTTATTATATTTGTACTGAAAATGTTACAAAAAATAAGAGCACGCATTAATTTTAATTCTAGCTTCATTTCTATTATCCGATGCTTCTTCTCGATAGATAATATCTTGTTCAAAAATTTTTTTGTTGTAAGTAAAATTGTAAATGTACATTAATTCAGTAATTACAGCTAATCACAACTGAATATTAAAATTTTCATTCTAAATACAATTAATGATGCACTGTTAAAAAACAGTTTCCATCAGGAGTTGATCTAATACAAACATAATCTTTGTATTTGTCTGGAAGTAATTTCATTGCTACATAATCTTGAATTCTTGATCATTATCATTCCACTCTTCAATGATATGATCAAACTATTGGGTAATATATTAACAGTATCAAATTGAACTCCATAATCAATAGTTCACTAAGTGTATTATCATTTCTATCAAGAAAATAAAAATAGCATGTAGAATATTTATAGCGATAAAAAAACTCCATTTTATTTATTTTATTTGGATTGAGTGGTAAAAAATAAAATTCGTGAAAAATAAAAATTTTCATTTTGAATTTATTCTCACAAACATTACTTTTATAATAGCGCTGTATAAACTTTTAAAGCAGGTTTTATTTGGATACAAGAGATAAACTTAGATTTGTTATTTAGCATGTTACGTAGTATTAAAAAAAAGTAATTTGACATTTTTCATCACGTCATAAGAAGTAAAATAAATCTAAGATTTGTAGTATACTAAAAAAAAGTAATTTCGTGTATATTATTTAATTATATACAATGAACGTAGTAAGTAGATATTTGATAAACGTCTGTGTTCAGAAATGACCGACTAGAGCTCCGAACAGGTCAGCCAAATTCAGGTAACCTGACCTGACCTGACCTGACCTGAAATTCAGGTCAGGTATGAGATTTTTAAAAAAAATTCAGGTCAGGTATGAAGATTGACCTGACCTGATTGACCTGTTGACCTGAAACTAT